TACAGAGGAGAAATAGTCCTTTGCTCTGGCAGAGCAGGTAGAACTTATCAAGCAGCAAACAGTGAACCTCCCTTTCCCATCTGGGCTACTAGCTTTTGTTGTGGTACCACCAACACCATGGTGGGGCTTTCCATTACCTGTACTCAGAACTATGGTAAACCATTTAGTGGACTAATCCATGAAGCTCTGAGTGAATATCTAGATACAGTCCACCCTAAACCCCAGAAGACTCATGCATATCTTTCCATAAAAACATTTAGTCCATCTCTAACAGTCGCCAAACTTTTAACAGTTTCAGCTTTACTTAGAAGTCCAAGCCCAAAGTCTCCTCTAAGATTCAAGGCAAATTTTTAGCTGTGAGCCCCTGCACAAATAAAAGACTTCAAAATACAGTGACATAACATAAACTTTCCCATTCCAAAAGGCATAAATAGGGGATAGAAAGGAATGTGACCAAAGCAAGTACAAAATCCAACAAGGCAAACATTAAGTTCCATAGCTCCACGTCAAGCATCCGGGTCAGTCTGTGGTAAGACGACTTGGATAGCTCTGTCCTTATGGCACTACCAATGGTTGTAGCTCCCATGGCTTTTCTTTTGAGCTGGCTCTGCTCACTCCTTGCCCCTTTCCTCAGATAATTGACATTCCTGGCCTCTCCAACCTGCTACTTTGACTTCACACTCACAGCTTCATACACTGCCTGGCTGCCCAGGTGCTCTTCTGAAGTCTGTGTAGAAGACATTCTGACTCCATACCTCTTGCATTCTATATGTGTCTAAAACCAGCTCCATGTAAATGACTCCAAAGTCTGCTGCCAGCTGGAGCAGTAACCTGGCTTTCTTCTCTCTTGGCTGTAGGAGTCAAGTGACTCGATTGCAGAACACTATGTGAACTCAATTTTGAGGTACAAAATCTTTAGACCACTGCTATTCTGGAACATAGTGCTCTGGGCACATGTTCTCAAAGCACAGACTTTCACTTTTTCAATTTTGAGGCTGCAAAGTGAGGAGTCCTGTGGTTTCATGTGTTATCTTCAGGCCATCTTTCCTGTTGTCCTGTTCCTTTTCAAGAACCAACTTCTCTTCTGATCCATCATTGCAGGTCATATATTTGTCAAAGCTTCTTTTCTGCTCAGATCTATCATCTTTTAAATCATTCTAATGGGCCATTCATTCTTGATTCTCAACATAGATCTGGTTCAAAGTCCCCAGCAGTAGCCATGGCAGCACATCAGTCTTACAGTTCCTTGAAATTTCTTCTGCAAGATTAGTTAATCCACTGTGCTTAATCTCAGTCTCCTGAAAAGTTTCTGAAAATGATCAATTGCAGACAAAATTTTCTGCTAAAGCAACACAATTGGTCTAGAGTCCAAAAGCCATTGTAATTCTTGTTCCTAATTGGACTCTGAGCTTGGTCTTTATGGGATGCATTTCTATCCACATTCTGGTCTTCTGAGCTTCATCACTTTGTGCACTGCAATCTTGTTACAATTATTAATTCCAGGAGGCTTCCTTAACTGATTTTTTTCAGATTTCCTATAATATTTCATATATGAAAAGTGACACTTAGGTTTCATTATTTCCAATATATGTACCTTTGATTTTCTTTTCTTATTGTATAGGTTGGAATTTGTAGTACACTATTGAAAAGGAGGATTAGAGAAAAGGTCTGTTTGTAATAAATTTCTTGAAAATTCTGCTTTTTGAGCATTATGACATTAGACTTGTTTTTAAAAAATATATCTTCTTTATCAAGTTAATAAGGTCTCCTTTATCATTATTTTGCTGGAAGTTTGCTACTATTACTATAAGTGTCAAATGCTTTTTCATGTCTGTTGTATGACCACATGATCTTTTTTTCTTAGCCTTAGAAGTAGTAAATTAACAGTGGGTTTTCAATCCTTGTACCACCTTTACATACTTTAGATAAATCCCACTTGATAGTGTTATATAATTAATTTTACAAATTGCTGAATATAATTTGTTACTATTTTGTTGAGAAATTTTTCATATGGTCTCACAGAACAAGTTAGGAAATATTCCTTTTGCTTGTATCTCCTAGAAGAGTTTAACAAGAATTGATAAAATTTTTTTCCTTAAATGGTAGTATTTGCCCATGAACCCATTTGGACTAAATCTGCTGGAAGATAAAATAAATAGAACTCTGAAAGACATAAGTATAGACAAAGATTTTATAAATGAAACTTCAGTGAGTAGCACAATGAATCAACAGCTGGGACTTCATCTTATTAAGGCAGAATATGATGCCTCGTTACCTTGTGAATGTAGGTATTGTAGTGCAGAAGGTATATGTGCAAAGCAGTCAAGTATAAATACAATTATTTTAATGATACCACACGCGAGATTCAACTGGAGTAGAAGTCTAGAATATGTAAGTGTTACAAGTCTGTTAAAAAACAAACGGGCAAACCTAAAAAGTACAGTGGTAAGTTATCTTTTTTTATTTTAAAAAAAACCCGATAATACAAACTTTCAAAACAGAATAATAGGAGATTTACACTGGTTAATATAATGCATATTGTTGTCTTAAAGTAGTTTGGATTACAAGATATAGGCATAAAAAATGATCAAACAATGAAAACATAAACTGTGCTTTTTGATGAACTAACACAGATTACTAGTATAGTTATCTATCAGATATATATCAGGTATATATCATATATAATATATACATAAATAGGTATATATCAGCTTTATATATGCATATAAAATCATATATATATGATCTTTTTCCTTCTTTAATTTCTCCTTCCCCCATCCCACTTGCTCTTTCCTTTTGAGCAGTTTTTCCCTTTTCCTTTCTCAATATCTATTGTACATTTTGGATCTTATTTACTCTTTATTTATTGGTACATATTTTCTGTACATGCATTTTGCAGTCATCTTGGGGTGTGCATACATGTACATAAAAGTTTCTTTTTTTTTGACCCCCTTACCTTCCCTCCTTCCTCCTTTAATTCCCCCATCCTGCTGTTCATTCTTGTTGATATCATTAATCTTAGCATGTATTCATGGCATACAATGTTTGGCTTCACTGTGGTTGTTAGTTTCCTGTACACATACATAGCTCATCTTTATTCTACTTACTTCCCTTTCCCTCCCCTTTAGCCTTCATCCTTTGTCTATAAACACAAGAAAGTTTATAAACATCTATAAACATTGCTGTAAGTGCAGCTTTCACTTTAGGCATGTTCATGTTCAGATCTGTTAGTTGTAAATCTATTTTAACTTCTCCATTAAGGCATTTATTACTTGTCTGTCATTAGTCTTGGAGTTTTAGTTCATCTTTCTTTTATAAGTTTATAATTTGATTCATTTTATTTGTTGCCTAAGAGCCTACATGACATGTTTTACATTATTTTAAATTTTTTTTCTGGTGTTTCATATTCCAAAATATATTCTATCTTGTTAAAGTTCAGTGGAACCTTGAGGAGTATCAGTTGGATGAAGTAGTGGATGGATGTCCATTATACCCAGATGATTGATGGGTGCTGTTGAGTTCAACTCCATCTGTACTGATATTGTACATTTTGAATCTGTGTAATTTTTGCAAATGGATATTAAACTCTAAATATTATAGTGGATCCAGGAATTTTCCTTTTACTTCTCTGTTTCTGTCTGTATTTTGATGCTATGATTTTGGGCACACATACATTAATGATTATTAGGTTTTTTTAGATGAATTGATTCATTTTTAATTACATAATGTCCATGTGTACAATTATTTTATTTTGCTAATGTAAAAGTATTCCATTTCCTTGATATAAAATGATTATAGCTATTTCTGTTTTTTTATTTGCTATAGCATATTTTTGAGGATAAAATTGTTTAAAAACCATATACTATAAAGTGTTTGGAATAGTGCCAGCCACATGTGAGCATTTGTGAGCATTACAAAACTTTAGTAATAATACTGTATTGTGTCTAAGTCCCACTTCCTGGGTGTAGTATTCAGTATGACTTCTCTAAGGATGTTTTACTTGCATAATTCATGGTATTTCAAGGAATAATTTCTTTCATTCATCGAACTTGCTATCTTTCCCTTTTTTGTATAGATATTCAGTAGTAACTTTTGCTTTTGCTTCTTGATGCATTTGCCATTGTACTTGAAACATTGTTAGGTCTTTTTCTTACCCTTGCTTTGTGTTCAGTCTGAAAAGTATGTTTGCTTGGCTGTCATAGCTTACATAACTTTAGAGAGGCAAGGAGAAGGATTGCTTCAGGTCTAGGTTGTTGGGACCTGCTTTTACTATCCTGTGTGTTCTGTGAACTTTCTGGGCATTTCCAGTCAAAAGTAGCAGTGCTTAGTTATGAGCTACCAAGTTTAGAGACTGTTCTCTGGCTCAAAATTTGTAAGATTTCATTTGAAATTGGCTTGGTTCACCAAAAATAGTGTGTAGTTAGTAGGATAGTGTCCAGTTACTCCCCTGTCAGACTGCACAGCTCCCTCCAGCTGCTGGACGCTGTTGTACAGGATGATACCATTGTTAGGATTATTAGAACTCTCATGTTTTAGCACTCTTCTCCCTGGAACTGTGGAAATCCTCTCTGCCTTCTTGTCTGAGCAGTCTTCCAAGTTATTTTCCCTTACAGATTTACACTTTGATAAATTTATCTAATAACACACATGTACTTACGTTCAAGTATTTGTAAGCTATGTATTGCTTCACTGTGCTGTGTGTGTTGCAGCTTACAGTCTTTTTCATTTGTCTTGACTAAAAAAGATAAATGCTTCTCTAGATAGAAGCAACCAATGTATTATGAATGTTAAAATTGTATTTTTTCAAAATAAATTTGCTTTTTAAACAAACTACTCTTGCACATTAAAGTAATCATCGTTCCAGAATTAATTAAGTCTGAATTCTTCTGGTTGTAACAAATTTCCGAGACTATAATCATTTTTTAATGATTCTATTTTGTTTGGTTGGGTGAAACATACTGTATTACTTTATTAAATCACCTTTATTCATTTCATTTCAGATGACTTATAGCATTACAATCGATGGAAAAATATGTACCCTGCATCTCAGAAAACAGTAAGATACGACTTTCTGTCTCACAAAAAGAGAGAAATGTATTGTAAAATGTTATTCTTTTAAAGATGTGTACAGAATTTAAATTCAGGAATGTAGTGTAATGTAGAGTTGCATTAGCAGTCCACTTTCTACTTTATGATTCATTAGATCTTGAACATTATATCTATAATGCTCTTGTGTTTTGATTAAGAAATAATGGACATAAACGTGGCATGGCGGTGCACCTGGTGGGCACTCAGGTGACTAAGGTGGGAGCATCGCTACAAGTTTGTGGCCAGCCTGGGCTACAGAGTGAGTTCAAGGCCAGCCTGAACTACCTAGCGAGACTTTGCCTCCTCCAAAAAGAAAGAGGCAACCTAATTGGAAGTATTCATCTAGGTATAAGTGATTGATCCAAGAACAATAAGTTATTTATTACATATATCTGATGTGAAAACATATGAAGTTACTCAAGTTGTTATTTGAAGTATTGGCATGTTTTTTCTGTGTTCATTAGACATGTGTTTATTTTTAAGAATCTTACTGAATATATTAATTCAGGGATTTCAATAACTTCATGCAGTGGCTGCATGCCAGTTTCAGGACATCTGAGAACGTACTCTTTCCCACAGAAGGGCCCCAAGTCATTTCAGCTCATATCTGTGTCCGCCCCCCACTCCAGGCAGAAATCAACTTGCTTTCTGTATCTTGGTCTGCCTTGTCTTAACAGTTACCATTTCAGAAGTCAAAAAGGATCTTCTGTGCCAGAAGCTTTTCAAACACATCTATAACACCTGTCCTTTGTCTGCCTACATCTATGTAGTCGGTCAAGGCTACGGAACATTATCCCCAATGTATGATAGCTCCTACTTAATTCAGGCCTACTGAGCTTATGTTGGCCTCTTTGGTTTCTAACTTCACTAAAAATATTTTGGGGCAAGATTGTCAATGTACTTCATTTTTTTATCGTCATGCTTGTTTTTCATTGTTTTATTTTTGTCCAATAATTTGCAGCGTTTGGCGGGACTGCTCAGTGCCTTTCCCCTAAAATAACTGGCTTCACTCAGCCTCCAGAGTGTCACAGATGCCATATCTTGGTTTCATTTCTACCATTATTATTACTGCTTGTGTTTGTGTGTCTGTCTCTCTGCTTTCCAGATTCCTCTTCATCTCTCTATTTGTAGAAAGCATCATGGAACTGTTGAGTTTTTAAAAACAAAAAACTTCAGTCGTTTGGTCTTGTGGCTTTAAATATCACCCCTGTGTGGGTTGCTCCTAAATTTATATTTCCATTTGACCCCCTCGAATGAATGCCATCTTTGTTTATTGTATTTATTTCATCACCAAATGTGTACTAGGACTCATATAGGTAAAATTTTGAAAAATAATTTCTGATCCTGTTCTCGTGTTTATATTTCCCATCATTATCTCAGTAAGTTCTATTCTTCCATTTTCTCTGTAGAAAAGAAAAAAATGGAGAATGGAAGAAATAAAAGACACCATGGAATCCTCCTTGACATCCTCTTCTTTTGTTGTCTCACAGGCCTGGTGTATTACGAATGCTCTGCATTAAAACATCTCTGAATCGGGCCTGGGCTGTGCTGATAGAGCCAGGCTAGCAGTCACAGTTTTCTAACACGGTTGCTTTTCCTGTGCATTTTCCTGTGGACTCTTCTCCGCGGCGTGGAGCCTGATCCTCTCACAGCACTGCTGTGCTGTGGTTCATTTGCCTCAGCTCCCGTGGGTGGGTGGTCTCCAGGAGGCCACTCTTCTCTCTCACCTTGCTTCTTCATCCAGTGGTCCCCACGTGTTGCCCAGCTCTTCTTTTTGTGTAGTTATGCCCCAAAATGACTGTCTAGAATAACCTTCCTGACTGAAAATCCACCTGGCTTCTTCATCACATCTTCCATCATCCATTCTGTGAGCTTTCCATGTCGTACGATACACATTTTCTTAACCATCCAGATAACAGTGTGTTAGCAGTGTGTATCTTTAATACTCCTGAAGCCAAAGATACCTTTTTAATTTTAAAAAGAGTAAAGACGAACAGTAAAATGAAGCAAAACAAAACAATAGGAGAGTAGGAAATCCACAGTTATCACTGTATTACCTATTGTTATCCTCTAAATAGCTACTCAGACCACTGGCCCGGTCCACAAAGTCAGTCAAACAACATACATGTCAGGTGACTACTCTGTTTTAGTCACTTCGGTTATTATCAGCTCAGCCTGGGTAACAGGCGGCTTCCTTGCTGCTTCTCCCCAGCCTAAGGGGTCTCTTCCAGCACACAGGAGGCTGCTAGCCTTCCTAGCTGCTTCTCCCTGGCCAGTAGGACCTCATCAGGCATACAGGAGGCTTGCTGACTGATGTATCCTACCATCTAGAAGAATGATTGTCATGCAGTAGATAAAATACTAAATATTTATCATCTGAAGACATAAGCAGGAAAAAAATACAAATATGTAACATACAGGAATCAGTCTAGTCTACTGCTAAGAAGGCTCCCTATCAAAATAGTTGTGTCAATTGCAACCACAATGCCACAGTAAAATTACCTAATTAAGTAATCTATTATATGAATCCTAGAGAGTCATCATTTACATATCTTATTTTAATGTTTATATTCATATTAAATTAATGACTTACCCTTTATTTGTTGATTTATTTCTAGATCATTCTTATCCTCCAGTTTTTTGGTTTCTACATACAACGAAACTGAATCTTTACATTCTGAGTCTTCATATTTTATGGTAAGAGATATCGTAAACATTTGTTATAACCTTTTACTATGTTTCTTTGTTAAAATGGAAACATCATAGCAATTAGATCATTTTTGTTTCAAGTTGACATTTTTATTAATTTTTATTTATAGATTTGGTGTGCACATTGTATTAATAAAATTCTCTTTCAGTGGAATATTGCCTTTGCTTTTAGAGTAGTTTTTTCACTTGTCTCATCTGAGATCTGAGTCTCCAGAATCTATGTGCACACTTTCTGTTTAAGTGTATGTCTACAGTATTGTGTACAGCATGATACTCAGTGCTTGTTGGATTGATTTTTATATATCATTTTCATTTTAAAAGCCTATAACCTACATTTTGGGAAGGAAAGGAAAAAAGCCATCTGTTATTCTATCACTCAAACTCAAACTCTGTTACAATTTTAGTGTATATCTTCTCAGTTTTTTGCTTTATTCAGTGTTGGGAATTAAACCTAGTATCATGAACTGTTAGACAAGCACTCTGTCACTGAGCCTACTTACCATCCTTGTGTTAAAAAGTGTCTTATTCTATATGACTCTGACTTCTTATATTGTTGATTATTGTATATAGAAATGTGATGGAGGTGGGCTCCAGGTGCAAAAGAATATTCATGAGTTTCCATGTAGTGAAGAGTTATTGAAAATATTTTTCCTAAAATTTTGCATTAATAATTCTGCACAATTCATAACATTATTATTGTCAAATATTTTGACCTCTTGAGTCCTCTGAAGTGTATAATGATGCTTTTTTATTCATAAAAAATTTGCATGTTTATACTGGTCCATCCTGTGATTTTAGATACATTGCCATTACCAAGGATATGCTGAAGAGTTTCCAAATTCTGTTGTGATACTCAGTGTCTGCTCTGGCCTCAGGTAATAACACCTCACAGGATAATCACACTGGAGAACGCAAAATACACTTAGTGGCTAGCAGGTATAAATCAGGAAAAATCCAGGTTTCTTTTCTGATGTCCATACTTTTATTTACGTAAATGTTAATACCTAGACCTAAATTCCCATTCAAATTAAATGAATCCTGGAAGTTTACAGTGGAGATCTTTCTAGTATGCTGGACAGGAAGGGACAGTTTCACAAAGGAGACTTTAGAACATCTCTCTAAATGTTATTGTTCGATTTTGTATCATATCTCAGTTATGGAAAATGATCTAATTAGTTATTTAAATAAAACAGGCTCATGCAGTATGATTTCAGTTTAATACGTACTAGACAAAAATAACTAAAACTCCTCACGGGTAAACAGATAAGTGATTTTCATCACTGATTATGAAACACTTATCATAATTCTATCAGAATTAGAGTGTGCTGGAGCAGAGAGAAAAAAGGTTTCATCCTATCTTCCTTTTCATTTTAGTGTCCAATTTCCAGAGATTTTCATCAATTAAAAAATTTACATTCTGCGAATATGATTTTCATACATATCAACGTCTGTAGACTTCCATTCTACATATCTGTTTTCTTTATTTTAACGTCTTTAAAGACAAGAACTTTATTTTTGGAATTCTCAATACATATATCAATTCTTTATGACCTTCTTTAATATATTTAATGTATCTTGAATAACTGCAATTACATAAATCGGTAGAAAACCCTTTTCAATACATTTAATTCTTTAACATGCAAGCAAAATTAAAGCAGATATGGTGGGTGTTGCTTGTGGTAGATTACAAAATGCCAGTAGGACAAGGCAGTGGATTGAAAAGATAAGCTTTACTATGGCTTCTTATTTCTCGTAGTACTAAAGATTATAATTACGGTCAAATTATTGCAGATTCTTTTATAATTATTTTTTTCTCTGAATGTTTAGGGGATTGTTACAGTTTGAAAATATCACCTATGGAATTGAACCACTGGAATCTTCATCAAGATTTGAGCATATAATTTATCAAGTGAAAAGTGACAATCAGGATATACCAATGTTAATAAAAAATTACAGCAATATTCGGCAGAAAGGCCAGTTCTCTAGAGATCATTTAAACCCAGAGGTAACTGTCATACTGATGTTATCACCCACCAGGAAACTACCCCTGTTTATTGTTTTTATCATGAAAGAAGTAAAATATAACCTTAATGTTTTCTTTCTATATTTTGAAATAGGACATCTAAATTTCATACAAAATACCCACAAAATTATGTAGATGTTATGTTTCAAGATTTTTAAGATGTGTTATACAATATTTATTTATTTTTTACTTTACTTTTTTTCTGGTACTGGGGATCAGACTCATGACCATATATGCTCGCAAGGCAGACGCTTATACCACTGAGCTAAATCCTTGGCCTGTTTTCTACATTTTTAAAACAAAATACTATGATTTAAACAACTAGCAATGCAGGAAATGCAGAGCCAGTAGCCTGGTAAAATTGTTTTTAACACACTGATATGTAGCTTTACATGTTACCTGAAAATATCTTTGTAAAATAGGCAATCATTTGAACATTACTTAACTATCTTCTTTTCCTTGTAGACTGGATACACATTTCTTGGTGACAGCATTTTCTTTTCATTGGAGTGTAGCTTGCCACTGTCTGATGTACAAGAGCTGTAATGAGAAATCAGCTGTTAGTCTGACCAAGAAACCCTTGTATATGATGTGTTTCTTCTCTATCACTGCTTTGAGAACTGTTTCTTTGTTTTTACATTATCCTGTGTCTATCTTGTGTTTATTTTACTTGGAATTTCTTTGTTTTTACATTATCCTGTGTCTATCTTGTGTTTATTTTACTTGGAATTTAAAGAACTTCTTGGGTTTGTAAATAAATGCTTTTAAGATCAATTTTTGGGAACTTGAGGCCATTGATGCTTCAGTTCTCTGCCCCGGTAACTTCCTCCTCTCCTACTGCTATTCTCATAAGGTAGATGCTAAAATGCTTGATTAGTATCCCACAGGGTTTCAGGCACTTTATTTCCCTTATTCATTCTTTCTTTTCCTCAGACTATATAATTGATTTATTATCAAGTTCCCGGGGTTTTTTCTTCCATGCTATTCAGGTCTGCCTTTGTGCCCCATTAATGAGAATTTAACTTTAGTTACTGTATTTTTCAGTTCCAGAATTTCTGTTTCATTCTTATCACTTGTATCCTTTTGTTTCTGGAGATACCATTTCAATGTTTTTCCATTGTTTATAAATTATTGCCTTTAGGTCTTTGTAACTATTTAAAATAGCTCATTTATTTTTCTATTGTATCTAGCATCTACTCTTCCTCATAGACATGATTTTTGTCCTTTTGGTTACGTACTGGTCATATTAGTTTGGTGCTTCATCTGTATCAAGATTTTTGAGGACTAAAACTGTGTTTTCCAAGTAATTCAACGTAGTAATTCTGTGCAGTAGTTTCTATCCCCATCCCCAAATTTAATTCTTATTATTGACTGCTTTTGTGGGTCATTGGTGAATTTTCTAAACTGGCTCCTTTAAGTTTTTGTTTTTTGTTGTCTTTAACTACTGAGTTAGAGATGGGGCTGCCTGTGGTCATAGTCACTTCCTGCTTGAATAGAACCTCAAGGCCAGGCAGAAGTGAGGGTCTGGGCCTAGGTTTAGGGGGGTCTTTACCCAGCAGACATTCAGCTTTAAGATTGTGCTTACTCGTGCCCTGGGGAGATCCCACAGATTCATAGAACTTTCAAGTTAGCTTTCCCTATCATGGTCTGTAGCTTTTCTTTTTAAAGCTTTGGTTAGCCTATTTTTTGCCCCATTTTTATTCATTGTGAATCAGTACATAAGAAGTTGGGCTGAAATTGTTTTTGAATAAATATCTTTGGGAAAAACAATTTTAGCTTTAGTAAGATCTGATTTTAATCAGTTTGAAGTGTGTCTCTCAGGAGCACATGCAATCAGACAGTTCTCTGGTAAGAGGTTTGAAAATGCTCCTCCCCACTCCAGCAGCCTGCCAGTGCTCCTGGCGAGTACAGGCTAAGGAGCGATTTTAACCTACAAATTAAAGCCCACCAAGGTAACTGTTGCTTAGTCATTGCTCAAAACAGAAACACTTTTCACTGTGTTGGAAGCCTTTGGTTAACTGCCGGGTCTCTGAAAAGTTAATTCTAACAATTTTCATCAGTTCTCTTTGGTTGCTTGTTGGAGAAAATGTTTGAGGTTCCTCACTCTGTTTCATGAATTTCATTCAACATGTTTTTATAACTATTAAATATAAATTTTTTCTAATTTTCCTTATTTCTTTATTGACCCATAGGACACTGAGAAGTGTGCATATTTTGGAATCTTATAGATTGACTTTGGTATTAATCTTTAATTATATTTCTCCATGTCTGATGATAGATTTTACTTAGTCTTGTGTTTTTTCTGTATTTATTATTTAGTTGTGTCATGTAGAATTTAAAGATGTCTGTTGGGTCCACTTGTGTGTGTTCTTCAAAAGTTTGATTTCCTACAAGGAATTTATAGTTTATTCCTGCTATCACAATACCTCATCTTATAATTTTAAAATTCTGTTCTGTTTCTGTATACACTGATTCATTTATTGAAGTTCTCACTATGTGGTTGGTCTCCAATTCGTGATCCTCTTTCCTCAATCTTCCAAGTGCTGGGATTACAGGAGTGCACCATCACACCTGTGTGTATTTTTACTTTTCAGTGGTATATTGTCATTAATTGTTATATTAAAGTAATCTGAAATTAGTTTGGTAGACTTCCTTTGTTTACTTTCACTATCATCTGTTTTGTCTAGAGGTTTATAAGAAAATTCTTATAACAAATATGTTTCACAAGCAAGTGCAGAGAACCATTTTGTATTTTGTACACTCTTCCCAACTTTGAGGTAACAAACATCTCTGTATAAGAATAAAGTGTAAAGGTATTCAGTGATACAGTACCACTTTTAGATAATAGTATTAGGGATAGCCAGCTCTTTCGTGTATTGTATGTCTGTGAGAGCCAAGCATTGCATTAATACATTTTAAGGAAAGACATTAGGCAAAGATTGAGGAGAGGATTTAAGACCACTCTGTTTATTAAAGGAACTTTCCGTCTTAATTACATAGTGAGAACAAGGCATTCTTTACTCATGAGGGCAAAGGTGTTCTGTGAGGAAGGAGCTACCTTACTTTTCTCTCATGTCTGAGACAAAATACTCAAAATGCCCAAATGAAAGAAAAAAAAGGCCTCTCTAACTTACAGTTTTTGGAGGTTTCAGTCCATAGTTAGCTGATTTCAAGGCACAGTGCATGGCTGAGGGGCATCCTCTCCTCAATCTTTGTCTAGTATAACAAATTCTAGGATTTTCAAGTTACATTTATGGAGAATCATAGGAAAAGTGTGTTTATTCTATCTTGGCCATATCCATAGCTCTTCAAAAAAATTCTGTATGTTTGATGACAAAACCATTATTGAAATGAATTTTGAATTTACAGTACTTGGTAAAGTAAATGTAAAATTTAGTAGTTAGTTAATTGTTCTTTATTCTTTAACTGTTAATTTCTATTCTAGATAATAGTTACAATGAATGAAGAGCTATGGCTTCAGTTCTTGTGGATGCCTGAATTTTTATGTATTCTAGATATAAATCCTTTGTGGAACAGCTGGATAAAATTTTTTCACATTCCATGGGTTTTATTTTCTCTTTGCTGATATTTTGTTTTGATGAGCAAAAACTTTTTAATAAGATGAGATCCTAGTTGATGATTCTTTGAAGTGCTTCCCTTGCAACTTGTGTTTTTTTCATGGACTTTCTGCCTACTCCTTGGTCTTCAAGATTTCTACTTACCTTATCTTCTAGTAGATTTAGTGTCTCTGTTTTAATATTTATATCTTTGATCCATTTTGACTTTAATTTAATGTGTGGTGATAAACGTAGGTCTAGTTTAGCATGTGGAAAGCCAAATTTTCCAGCAAGACTTATTAAAGGGGTTATCTTTCTTCCAGTGAATATACTTGGCCCCTTGTCAAAGATAAGCTGGATGATTGTCTTTGTTACTGTGTCTGCATCTTGCACTGATCCATTCCACTGATCCTTAGGTCTGTTTTTCTGTCAGAACCATGATGATTTTATCAAAGTAGTTTTGTAGCATAATTTCAAGTCAGTGATTATGATGCCTCCTGCCTTGCCTTTGTTTCCCAGGACTGCCTTTGCTATTCTAGGTCTCTTCTGTTTCTAAGTGAATTTTAGGAATGTTTTTTCCATATTTGTGAGGTATGCTAATGATATTTTGATCGGGAGTGCATTAAATCCGTGTAACAGTTTTGGGAGTATGGTCATTTACAGTGATGGAGGAGCAAGGGATAGCTTTCCACTTTCTGTTACCTTCTTCAATCTCTTTTTTCAGAGTACTATAGATACTATATAGATCTTTTACCTTCTTTGTTAGATTGATTCCTAAATAGTTCACTTTTTGGATGCTGTTGTGAAAGGTGTTATTTCCATGATTTCTCTCTCAGTGAGTTTGTTGTTTGTGTACAAGAATGCAATTGATTTTTGACTATTGACTTTGTATCTGGCTAGGTTGCTGAGTTTGCTTATCAAGTAGTGGTCTTTGGTGGAGTTCTTGGGGTCTTCAATGCAGAATATCACATCATCTGCAAATAATGATAATTTAACTTCTTCCTTTCTTATCTTTTTTTTTTTTACTTTTCTCTCTTGTCTAATTGTCCTGGTTAACATTTCCAGAACTATATTCAATAGGAGCGGTGACAGTGGGCATCCTTGTCTTGTTCCTGTTTTTAGAGCAAAAGCCTTCAATTTTTGTCCATTCAGTATGATATTAGCTGTTGGTTTGTTATAGATAGCTTTTGTCAAATGGAGAAAGAGACCACATATTCTGATTTTCTGTAAGGCTTTTATAAGTGTTGGACTTTATCAAAAGCTTTTCCTGCATCTATTGAAATGACCGTTTGATTTTTGTCTTTGGCTCTGTTGATGTGGTATATTATATTTATTGCTTTGTATATGTTGAACCGTCCCTACATTTGGGATGAATCTCACTTGGTCATAGTGTATAATCCTCCTGCTTATCTGCTGTATTGCTTG